TTAAGACGACCAGCTTCATAGAAGAGAAAAATCACTTCGAACCGTAAATGTTCGCCTTGCAGAGGGTTAACTGAACTTAGCTTTCACATTTAGGTCTATTTATGCCCTTTTAGTAAACATTTAATTTTTTCATTTATTTATGTGAAAAAAAGTTTAATTATTTCTTTTCTTTCTTAAGACATATTTAATCATTTCGTAGCAAGTGCAAGTGATCAGTAATTGATTTAGGGGGAAAAGATTTTTCTACATGTTGATAGGTAGATATTTTATCATATCTGCTGCTAAACTGATGTGGAATTACCACTTAGGTTTAGTTTGGTTTATTTTATAATGGCAAAGCACACTAGAGCTATATGCCTAAGATGATGAATGCCTTCGTGGAGGACTTTCTGAAATGCTCGTATGCACATTATACAGGAAGAAAACCACGAAAATGCCAATGCAGCCAGCCCGTTCGCCTGGATTTGAACCCAGCTCAGAACTACCAGTGTTCAGCGATCTTACCGTTTGGCCGTTGGTGGGTCTACCTGTTAAGAAATGCGATTTAGTTAAGAACGTTTCAAACAAAACTGGATCATTTTAGTATTTAGACAAGGACTGTAACATATGGAACAGCAAGTGCACCATTCCTCGGAACAAGGGTCCTGAAGCAGTGGATGAAGCGACGGAATTCCCTTATGCCTCGAGAGCCATACTGAAGGATTATTACGTATATGACATTATCACTGGAGCTAATACGTTGCAAGAAGCTAAGGAGTTGCAGACACAGTCAGCCTAAAACGTGGTGGAATTCAGTTACACAAATGATGTTCAAATAATACCGAACTATTAAAGGATAGAGAAAGTGCAGCTCAGAATTCCTTCCAATTACTGATAAGACTCAGGTTACACAGGCCTCGAGAATGTCATGGAGTACTGCTACAGATTGTTTTCCTTACGATTTAAAGATGCTGACACTGAAGAAACAGTAACGAAAAGAGACGTATTATTAGCGATAGGTCGCGTCTTTGATTCATTAGGTTTAATTGGACCTGTTAACGACAAAAGCTAAAATATTTCTACAAAATCATTGGCTTCTGAAAATAAATTGGAATACACCTCTTCCTAAAAATTACTTTAAAGAATGGAAGGCATTTCTGCATCGTATAAAAATTAGTCATCGATTATCGCATCCCTAGATTTGTTCTAACCAATAGATTACAGCAAATAGAAATAATAGGATTCTGCGATGCTAGTCAGAAAGCCTCGAGTGCTGCAATTTATGTAAAATGTATGCCATCTTCGAATGAATGTTCTTCAAGTCTTTTGTGGAGCAAGTCTCGCGTGTCATCTTTGATCTTAATTACCATTCCTCGTTTGGAATTTTGTGGTGCAGTTCTGTTTGTAAAATTAATGAAATGAATATTAGAGGCCATTCAACTACCTATAGACAAAATGTATTATTTCACTGATTCATCAATAGTGTTAGCATCGATTAAGAAGAAACCTCATCAACTAAATATATTTGTTTTTAGTATAGTAGCTGTTATTCGCAGTATAACTGTTGCTCATAAGTGGTACTATGTTGACACACATAATAATCCAGCTGATTTGATATCACGTTGAGCTGAACCTAAGGTTCGTCTTCATAATGGTTTATGTAGTATGGACCAACATTCTTGACTAAGCCTTGCGAAGTAATTTCATGTGATATGACTGGTATGGAACATGTCAAAGAACTCAAAGACAATGACGTAGTTAATCTAAATGTTAACTCTAATTCCCTTGTTTTAGATCATATTCTGAATGTTAGTAATAACTATATTCGTATTATTCATGTGCTAAGTTTTGTCTGCATATTTATAGCCAGTTGTAAAGGGAAAAATTTAATAGGTTCTCTAATTGTTAAAGAATTGGATGACGCTGAGAAAATCATGATCAGATATGTACACTTACAACATCTTAGAAAGGACGATTATTGAATGACTATTACTATTGACTTTTATTGACGATTATGACTATTATTGAAAAATAAAGATTGTGTTTCTTCCCAAAATAAGTAAAAACTTGTATGTCCGTTTCTTCATACTGATTCTCTTCTGATAGTAGGAGGCAGACTTACCAACAATAATCTTAATTATAATAAAAAATTTCCGTGTGTTGTAAGGTATATTTTAATTTTATGACAGTTATTTTCATTTAGTTAACCTTTCCTATCGTTCTTTGTTTCATCTTACAACTTCCTACCAGAATGAGTTTTAAGAATTGCGTTGAATGTAAATGAGTTAGAAATAGTATTAAAGGAAAGTTCAATTTGCTTCCTGAGTGAGAGCTAGAACTCCTGATTGGCGCATGTTTGCCTTTACGTGTCGTGAGTGGTCTCTTTAAACTGCTGTTACGCTCGGACGTATATTACGTGCCTTTTGATAGTTCGCTGGCTAGTTTAAAAGTAAGGGCCAACTATGTTAGATTTGTGTTAGCTTCGCCTAAATCTCTTGGTTAGATATAGTTAGTTCTCATTTCTTATTTTTAAGCCCAACTGGAGACTTTGTTGTAAGCCCGAAGAAAGGGGCGGACTGTTCATCTTATTTTGAGTCAATAAAGGGTAATTAACCCTTCTTGAGTTAACGATTTCTGTTATTTGAACTAAGCGATAATTCGCTTAACAGTTCACTAGGTTCCTCGACATTTAATTTAGCAGGATAACATTGAATGCCAAAAGATCATGCATTTACTAGATTAATGTTTTAGTATTACTATGTTAAATATTTGCATCTTGGTTAGCAAGAATTATTGTATCAAGTTCGCTGTAAATTTTGGGTTATTAGTGGTCGAGATATAGCTCGAAAGCTTGTACAGGAATGTGTAACATGTTTTAAACAATTTGTATGTGAACAACTTATGGGAAATTTACCTGGTGAAAGAGTTAACTCAGGGTTTGTATTTGATACTTGTGGACTGGATTTTTCTGGTCCCTTCTTCATCAAGTATAGAAATCAGAGAAAAGATAATTATACGTTGTGCGTGTTGCTAAGTAATTATACGTTGTGTTGTGAAAAAGTGTACTTTGTTATATACATATGTTTAGCTACTAACGCAATACATTTAGAGGTGGTAACTGATTTAACCATAGATGCATTATTTGCTACTATTAAAAGATTTATTGCTAAACGTGGAAAATGTAATACCATAATGTCAGATACCGATACTAATATGGTTGGTGCAAAATAAGAACTGACAAAAATTGCATAGCTTAATCCTTAAATCTAATTCTGATATAGCGTCTTTCTTAACATCTGAAGGTATAAATTGGAAACTGATTCCGTCTAGAGCGCCAAATTCTGATGGTTTATGAAAGCAGGTATAAAGTCATTTAAATATCATCTTCAGAGTACAATCGGCAGTTATAAATTGACTTTAGAGTTTTGGACTGTTGTCTCACAGATTGAAGGTATTCTCAATTCTCGTCCAATTCTACCTTTATCAACAGATGCGAATGATTTTGAAGCCTTAAAACCAGCCTTAACGCCGGGTCATTTTATTTGGACGTTTCATTACTTCTTATCCTGAACCGAATTTGTCAGTTTGTCTCATTTTACAGATAAATTTTCTACATGGCAGATTATCACCAGGTTTGTTCAAGTTCTTTGGAAACGTTGGCAAACTGATTATTTAAATTATCTCCAACAACGCACCAAATGGTTTATTAAAAGAAAATTTAAAGGCAGGTATGATAGTTTTGTTAAAGGAAGATAATCTTCTTTCATTTAAATGGTCTTTAACTAGAATTGCAGAAGTTTTACCTCGGAAAGATAACAAAACCAGAGTTTTTAAAAAGAAAACGTCAAATGGTGTATATATTCGATGCATTAGTAAAATTTGTTTATTACGTATCCAGAAGAACGATGCTTAGCTTTACATTATTGTGTTCTTATTGAAAATCGTGCTTTATATTAAAATGGAGCTGTTTGAAAGAGTAAGTTAGGGTGTGGCATAGTGAATTAGTTTATATTCTTTATAATATTTATATTATTTTATATTGCATTCACGATGAAAAATTACCTATTACCTTTCATACTTTAGATTTAGTTCTCCTTGAATTTATTAAATTGTGTGTTTATAATTTACGTACTGAAATTTGGAATTTCAACGGGCGGTGGCGTGCTAGTTTAGAATACAGCGTTAACTATTGTATATAGACAAAAAGTCTCACTTGGCCACCTGGATTCGGCTAAGCAACATACCAGAGCATGTACTAGTGTTAAAATGTAGTAATTACCATTAATAAATAGTTCTCTATTTTAACAATCCTCTCATTAGTTTTAGAACAGTGGTGGCGAACCTTTTTGGGGCCGCATGCCCTAAATTCTACCAAAACCCACTTATTTATCGCAAAGTGCCAACACTCCAATTAAACCTGAAGAGAGTTTCCAATGATACAAAAGCTTTTTATTTCAGGAAATAGATTGGTTCTGCGTAATTAATGGGATTTTTAGTCCAAAGGGATTTGAATCCCGAAGGACTATTAGTTTCGTTTTGGCATTTTGCGTCGGATGGATAAATGTCGGTTCACTTTTCAAACTGTTGCCATAAAATGTTAGAGTCCTGCATTATATTTGAAGAAATTAAATAATGAAAAATCTGCATAAATGTATGTATATTTCTCGTATTGTGATAAAACAACGGTACATAGAGTCATCGAATTTTGAATAACGTAATCCTCCAACGAATATGAGCATGTGGAAGACCAAATTTGAAATTTGAAATTTGTTTTATGATCGATTTCCTATTTTTTAAAACTTTGACGAATTTTTGATTAACAAACTCAAGGATTTCAAAGCGAGCAATGGCAACGTTGTGCAGAAAAAAACATTTTTATCTCCAGCGCGTGAGTCTCTGTATCGGAAATTCTAAAGATATGCTCGTTTTAAAAAATATTTGCGCGATATTGCTGTTGCACTGGATCTTATGGTTTAAGTGCGAGGAACATGATATTTAATAAAGAAAGGTAACACACAAAATGTTAAAAAACGCCTCTTTGGACGTAATTTAAAATCTGAAACATTTCAGATTTTTTTTTTTCTGTTGTATACATACTGATAATTTGTCAAACCTTGTCTCATACTTTTTTAATTTGAGCGCAACACATGCAGCACTCAGGTTATCTGTCAATCTGTTCTTATGTCATATTTGATATAATTCAAAGCTGAAAACAGCTGTTCCCACTCATAAGATGATCCAAACAAGGTAAGAATAGCACCCCAAAGTGTTTCCATTGATTTAAACTTATTTGACAGAAAATTCCAGGCTTTCAAAGGATTTCGTCTTCATAACTATCAATTGTGCTATCATGTGTGATCTCTTAACAAGTGATGCGCACAGATCAGATAATTTTCTTTTCCATGTAGAGATTTCTTGAATAAGCAAGAAAGATCAAGTTCTTCAAACTTAGATTTATTTGGAGAAGTAAGAAAACACATGTTTGTTTCCATATGACGGAACTGTAGGGAAATCTGTCATTAAAACTCTCCTTTGCAGCTGCTACGATGCCCGGAAATTCTTTGTAGATTTCTTCATGACTTGAAGGACTGTGTGCAAATTGTATAGAATTTTCTAGATGCATCTTTAGATTTGGAAAATAGTTCAGCTGCCAACTTGCAAAATCTCTTTCAAAAACAGGAAGTTTTGTCTATAAACAAATGTTTTTATATCGCAAAACATTCTTTCTCTCATTTTTATAAGGCTTGCAGTTGCTCATTCAATACATTGAAGTTCTGTGTAAAATCGGTAAAAACTTAACGTTTGTTAAGCCAGACCATATAAGTGAGCTGCGGATAATCCTGCCCTTTTTCATTCAAAAATAGCCTAATTTCATCTAAACAGCTTACACATATCTCTAAAACCCGTCCTCTGCTCAACCATCAGACATTATTGTACAAAGCGTTATATTGTGCTTGAACCTCATCAAGAAGTGCTTGAAACTGTCGACAATTAAGAGCTCGAACTGTGATGTAATTCACCATTTTGGTGACATCTTTGAGAACAGCATCTAATATTTTGCAGCTGTCTCTCGCACAAAGAGCTTCTTGGTGAATGAGACAATGAAACTGAATAACTAGCTGTTTTGCTTCTTTAACAAAGAACTCTATGAAACCAGATGCTGTTCCCAACATGTAAGGCGTACCATGACTAGTAATTGAACCTACCTTTTCCAGTTTTATGGCTTGTTGTAAAAAAGCTCCCATCACAGCATTGTGAATATATATTCCTTCTGTTCCTTCGAACAAAGATGCCAATTTAATCAGCTCTTCTCTCACCGTATCACCAACAGCATAACGCAAAACTATTGCTAGCCTTGCATAGTTTTTTATATCTGTGCTTTCAATCTACGCACATTGGGTAACAGCTGCCTTTTGCAAGTCAGTGGTGAGCTTTTGACCTATATCACTTGCCATCCGCAGGACTCGATCTTTAACAGTATTTCTGCTAAATGGCATCTCAGCCATACGTTGTTTAATTTTGTTCTTATTTGGAAAGTCATGAAAAAGGGAATTACTCCCAGACAACATGATCTCTTTGATTAAATCCCCATCGGAAAGCGCTTTGCCAGGCATAGTGAAATTTGAAAGCTAGTCGTTGTTAGATGGTTTGTTTTAGAAAGATAATTGCAAAAACCAACTTTCTTCCGTTCAGCTTCATAAAGTTCATCAAAAATTTTGTGGATGGTGTTAAAGTGCCGTCTGACACTAGATGTGCATCACACAATACTTTCCCCGCACGGAGTGCTTAATCCTTTCCTATTGTATTCAGTAACTCCAAATGATTCTGTCCAGGTCTTCTTGAAATGATCTTCAATTATTAATGTTTAATTTTGATTTTTCTGCTGGAGTCATTTGTGAGGGTTCAAAACCTGCAGTATAGAAAAGCACAAAATTTAAAAATAAAGCATTAAATATAAATCGGTCACATACTAAAAAGAGGTAACATTATTAGCCAATCTATGGTTGCAGATTCAAATATGAGCAGGGGTCAGCCGTAGCCGTTAACCCAAACATCTCTTTGCTAAACTTTAGATTTCATATGCTCTCTTTCGGCTTTATTGGGCTTATTTTGGCTGAGCGCATGTGAATAAGCTTGGTTTCTCTAAGAAGATTTTGTGTTTTGCTACATTATCAAATTGCATGTTTTTACATTACATTTGTTCATTCCGACTAAGATATTAAATTAGAATTATGCGTAAGTTACCTCAAAATGCTTAGATCTGAAAACTAGAGTCTGTTTAATAATGAAAGTAATAAAACGCACCGACAGTCCGCAATAAATTTGAATTCGCTTAGCAAACATTAGCTGCTTCAACTTTGGCGTATTCTTTACCATATAACAAATAATATGATTGATGAAAACAATTGAAACATCAGAAATTGGGTCAACAATTGTGTATATCATTTTTATGGCGATATATGTGAGAATCTTATATCTAAGCTTAGGCCCTATGCCAGTGGCGTTATGCGAAAACTAAGTAAGTGAAACTTTCAAGAATAGAGTAAAACACTTATTTAAATTACATAATATCATTTTATTCTAATTATTGATTAAGGAAATAATATTTTAGTCACGTGCCGGCTGATGAGGCTCTGCGTGCTGACTGTGGCAGGCGTGCCATAGGTGCGCCATCACTGTTTTAGAATTATAGAATCATAATACATGTCTTTGAGATTCCCATACGAGTTTCCGTTTGTGATCATTTCCCCCCTATATTTGTGTTCAATATTTTTTAAAGAATAATTATTATCGAAGTAGCAATTGAGTATTCGAAATTTGTGTGTATGGCAATACATGCCTACATTGCACGACACTCACCTTTTCCATATTTAGTTTGTACATTCAACACTAGATGGCAGCACTGTTAGACTTGGACAGTGCTTGGAATCCATTGAAGTTTTGGTAACATTTATTGTAATGTTTCTCTATCTTTTTACTCTTGAAGTAGCTTAGTAAAATTATTCATGTGCTCCTTAAATATTATATCTGATTATTAGAATAATTACCCTAATGAAAGGGTTGCCAATTTTTTTTCCGCTTGCTTGTGGAGCCCATATACATAGGATGTAGGATGTTAGTAATAAAGATGTAGACCACTTCTAAATGAAATATTTATGTATAAGTTACTAAAAGATAAAAATAAAAAAAAATTCCAATGTAATAAAAAGAAACTAAAATATTTTCTTATCTAATGCCAAAGGAAAAAAAAAATCTAATGTGGATCCACTAATGTGTGTGTTAAAAAAATCTAGTGTGGATACCACATGACTTGTACCGCCTATTAAATTACATGTACTTTTCTGCTGCACTTCATTTAAAGTTATTTCCTCGAATTACTCTAACTTAGTTAACAAGACAATTTAAAGCGAATTGGAATGGCTGACGAGTCACAAAACAAGTCAAAAATGATATCATTGCAAATTTTGAGCCGTACGGGAGTAAAAGTTCTTATAATTTTATTTTTTCGTTACGAGTATAAAACTTTCCCAGATATACTTACAGGAACATATACCGTATTAAAAGATATATTTCGTTATTTTTCGAGAAACAATTTATTTTTAAATCGATTTTGCCGAAGCATAAATATTTCAGTCATTTAAAAATCTTCTGTAATTGGAAATATGTGACTACGGGCAATATTGCGAAAATATATGTCGAACAAGAACTTTCAAGCCGGGTAACGGGTTGGATATATATGTGATGTACCAGCTTTTGTACGGAATAAATAGATTGGTGAAGAATCATAGATGTAGTCGTAGCTTAAATTATCAGACAATAAGTTTAAAAAACAGGATCCATTTAGTATTGGTCAGGAGAAATAGCAGTTACAAAAATCATATTTCCGGAGTAAATAAAAAAGAATTACTAATAAATTTTTGCATGAAGTTTACTGCATCGTTACATTAAAGAAAAAGACCCGATATTCCTTTGCGAGTCCCTTTATAGCCTCTGGAAAGGCGGAGCTTCCAAGAAATGACGTCAGCCTCGTCAGCCATTCCAGTTCGCTTTAAATATCTCCAGAACATTCTATAACTGTACGTTAGAAAGGCGGGAAAAACAACTTGACTACGGGGCTGTGGATTTAATTCCACGTACTTTCAAATAAGCGACCGTCGCCATTAAAATGAAAAGAACATACAGTTAGAATTTTAAGTTATTCTTGACTATGGAACTTTATTATTATACATACATACATACTATATATATATATATATATATATATATATATTGTTATAATCGACTGCAATAAAAAGGATAGGTGCACAACTAGATGTTATAGCAGTCCCATGTTCCGACATTCTGCGGCTAATCGTTTTTGTGTTATGCGAGATACATATATACATATATACGTACAGATGTCACGAAAAAAAAAATCCCGTTTGAATTCCCTTTCAATCCATTTTACAGTCGGTTTTGAAAAAAGATTCCTTTTTTCTTTCCGTAAAAAACTGACTTTTTCTACATTCATTGGTGCTTTAACTTATTGTTTCCTGGAGAATCTTCTACGGACGGAATTTTTTCTCGCCTTTAATTAACGGAGAATCTAAAAAATAATAGTATCAAATTTCCGAACTTTTTTATGATATTAGTTGATTTTATTATTAGTAGTATGATCACGAACCTCTTAGTTCATATTACTTATGTTTCTGTGAGTTGTTTCCCGTGTTCGGGTGAATAACGTGAAATGTTTTTTTTTCTGTGGTTTTTGCTTCATTTCCTTCGTTAAGAACACACAATTTGTTGTTATCAGTAGCTGGTTATTATTATCCAAGCTACTATAAAGTGATTCCTTCGGGATGTATGACGATCAGTACTCTTAGCGAGCAGTATTTCTGAGAATTCGAACAAACACCACTGTGACTTCTCTAAAGTGACCACGTCTGCAGAAGACCACAATAATCTGGAACCGCAAGGGGTCCTATTACAGAGCATTCACTCCAGATAGAAGCGCTGCAGCGGAATGAGTATCTCTGCTCTTGCATAATTCTAACAATTTTCGACAGATGGCAGCACTATGTAATGATAGAGTCCTTCCTTCTCGGACGAAGTACTAAGGCGTTGGCTTACAGAGTACCTTTGCTTAATTATGCAATTACCTCCACATCATCGTTAATAAATATGAATTAAATCAATGAGCAGTAGCTAACGAAAAAGAACCGTTGCGGGTTTAAAGATCCAAGAGATGGATAAGAAGCCCTCGGAAAACCATGGTGGTAGGAAATAAACTTCTTACCTCCATGCGAAAAACTGCGATTCTGATCATTTCATGAACTCGACCCGCCAGCGTCTGAGGTTCGAATTTTGGTGAACGGGCATTTTCGTGGTTTTCTCGTGTATAATGTGGGTACGAGCAGATTTCCAGTAAAAAGTCGTCTACGGAGCAACCCTCCCTTGCCTTGCAGTGCCTACAGGCGGAACCACTTAATAAATAAATAAGAAGCTTTTCTCAACTCTTTAACTCGTTTAGAAAAAATTTTAGCAATACACTTATATTAAAATTATTAAATTTTAATTAATCTCTTTACATTTTATTTAATTTTAATTATTTAATTACTTTAACTCTTAATTATTTAAATAAATAATAATTAATTTTTATTTAATTAAATAATGATTGATAAATATTATGAATATTAATTAAATAATTATTAATTAATTTGATAATAATTCCCTATTTAATTTTTAAATTATCAATCATTTTAACTTCTGTTCATCTTTGCTGACGGTCTTCCATAACGCTCCGGCACTTCTAATTTTAGAAATTAAGCCCCGAGATAAAATATTTAAAGAAATCATCATTAGATTTAAACAGCTGCATTCTCTTGTTATATCTTTTTTTATTCCATCAAAACTTCTGTATGAAAATAACGAATGTCAATTAAATTATGATTACGCTGACATTAATAAGAATTCCTTGTTAAGAGAGAAGTAGTTCAAGAGTTTTAGTTTCGTTATTGCTATGGAAAACGAAACAGCAACGTGGAAATTTGGTCATTTTGAATTCATGCATCTTATTCTGAAGTACAATGACCACAACAAAGTTTCAAATATTGTAATACAAATGCGAAATTTCTTGAAACTGCTGTAAATGTTGTTAATTGTGAGAAGATTTTTCTGAATAAAAATCATTTTAAAAGTATTTAAGAATTACAAATATTTATTGTTCATTTAAGAAATCTTATCTACACAACAGCAAATGAAGCAATCATATAGATCTCTAGGATGTCGTCAATGATTTGCTAACACACATGCACATCACACACACACACAAAAAAAAAAAAATTGTCTGAAAGTTTTCAGATTTTATATTACGCCCAGAGAAGTATTTTTATTATTTACACACACACGTTTCGAAAGCATTTGGGCTAATATCCCTTTGGGAAAAAAATATTTAAAAACAGCATTTCTTTAGAATTTCCTATAGAGAAAATCGCGCTCTGGGGATAATTTTTTTTTTTTTTTTTTTTTTTTTTCGTACAGTGTTGCTATTGTTTGCTTTGAAATCGTCGAGATTTTTAACCAAAAATTCGTTAAAGTTTTACAAAATATGAAATAGACAATAAAACAAACTCGAAATTCCAAATTTGACCTTCTAGTTGCTCATATTTGACTCGAGAACTACGCTATTCAAAATTTGATGGCTCTAGGTACCGCTTTTTTCACAATGCGAGAAACATAGATACATTTATGCAGATTCTAGCAGACTAAAATATAGTGCAAGACCAAAATATTTGGTAGCAACAGTTTGAAAAGTAATATAACGCTTTTATTGATTCAACGCAAAATGTCGTTTCGAGACTAATAGCCGTTCTGGGCTAACGACTCTCTCGGCTAAAAAACAACAAAACAATAATATAATTTTAGAATATT